CTTCTTTGTACTACATGTTTTAGACAGACAGTTATTTCGGCATTCAGTATTTATCAGAAGAGTTTTATGAAGTTTAATTATTCCATAATAAAAATGTCTGTCCTCAGTATTACTATCACAGTGTCTTTGTCTAGCAATTACTTCAAAATATATTTATAATGATTTTACGTTTTCATTTTAGTCAAATATTGTAAAGACCAACACAAATTGCTTGTTTTAATGGCAGTTAATTAAAATAGTTGTTCCCAAATTTGTAAATACAATAATGAAATTGAGGTATTAGTATAACTCTTCTAATTTATTGGAGCTTTCAATGTATGTTGCACCCATTTGATATAATGGCCGAATTGGGCACATAAACCATTACATGTAATTCAACTTTTAAGTGAAGATATATCTTTATGCAGGCTCAGGGATGTAAAATAAACCCACAGTTACCCAAAGGAGCACAGAAAATCATATTGTGGCCAAGGAATATCGCACAACGATCATATTCGTACCATTTTACAGGGCAGTAAAAACACAAAATTCGAGAAAAAATTGCAAATGAAGATTTTAATAGGAAGCTAAGAATCACGGAGCCAATAAGACAAGATGATAATTAGCATTATGTATGCTTGCTAAATGGACTATCACTCAAACGCTGCTTTGCCAATTTCCCTGTGTAACGTATAAGGTCTCACTGGATAGTTTCGTATTTTGACACACACCCCTCTAATTTTTAAGGTATGAGCCTGATTATCACAATTCTAGCATGAGCCTGATTATCACAACCCTAGCATTTATAAACTCACACATAAGCTAAATCTGTAATGTGGTTTACATTTACTTTGAGTTAGGCTTGTAAATAGGTTGCCTTGTTGGTAACTGCCTGTCACAGTTAGACTAGCACTGGAGATCAAATGCGTAACTTAGTCTGCAAATGTGCATCCGACTTGGCTTACGTATTTACATGTGTCTGCTTCAGAGGTAAATATCTAAAAATCTACATGGTTGAGGGGTGATGAAAAGAATGTTCATTTGTTATAGTACTAGTGAACTTTTAAGATCAATAAGGTACATACTGACTCTGTGAGCCTGCTTCTCACAGGAACAGGTTGAAATAGCTCTTTTCTGTCAAAAATGAATGTAAAAAAGAGGAGTTGGTGGTAGTATAGGTTCAGTATCAAAACCACCAGTTGCTTAAGGAATTAACCTTAATACCTTAGTCAGAATCTTACAAGCATCCTTTCAACAAAAATCATTAGTTAGTTTTTATTTGTATCTTTATTGTAAAATTATGATCATTTTTCTGCAATAGGTCATTGTCGGATGAAAATTTGGCAAACCAACTGTCCGGTGAGACCTATTGGTATACAGTGATATGCCAGAGATAGATGACATCACTGTATGATACCAGTCATATCTGGGGGCACTACAACGGAGCACATGCGAGTGACAAAGCAAAAATCATGTTTTCTTTAGCTGATAACAGAAATGCTAATAAATATACATTCATGTATGCATCTTGAATTTTCCCCAAATATATTTCCTAAGTTAGTCATGCAATTCGATTGGCAAGACCCATGTCATGGAAATTCTTAAACACATCTGTGATTCCATGTTTTATAGAGAGAGTATAGACCATTTCATGGAGACTTCGGCGAACTTCGTAATTTGCTCGGAATTTTGATCACGTGGCGGGTGGTCCACTGATCGGATTATCCAATCGATAGCTGGTAGGCAAAAATAGTCTGGTCCCCTGCTTAGTATGCTCCCTAGTATAGTATAGCGAAGTGCATCGCAGGTAGCATACTAAGCAGGGGACCAGACTAGTGGTCAAAACAAGGCGGACAATTCAGCATTAGCATCAACTGTTCCGATTGCCTATAATCCGCAGTATAACAAACCTGGAATATTTTTCGACGGTAAAGCTGCAGAAGTGCCAGGCATTTAGCGGGCAGATAGCGGGCATTTCCTAATTTGTTTTAATCTGATACGTCTAAACAACAATGTATGCCATTTGTTATGTACATATGCCTAGCAGCGTTTGATTGGCTGGAGAGTATAAAGTGACTCGGGAGGTTTTTCGAATAATTATGGAGCAACTCGGTTAAATCCGGTATGAAATGGGCTATAGAGGTGCATAACACTGATAACACTTGTCGTCTGCTACTTAGGAATCCCACGTTTCCTATGGAATGAAATGGACAGTGTGAGAATATATATATATATATATATATATATATATATATATATATATATATATATATATATATATATATATATATATATATATATATATATATATATATATATGTCATAGTGTTCTAACTTTTAAAATTTACTGATTAAAACAATTATTCTCTTAACAAACCTTGTGTGTTATCAACTTCTCTAGAACGAACCCGACCCTATGCTCGCGCTCAAGATTATTATGTATTATTGATAAAGACTGGTTAGAGAGATGCCACACGAACGCTACTAATAGTTTCAGATATAAATATGTCCCCAATCCTTTAACCACTAGCTATCCGTTTGATCTTTACCTACCTGAATGAATGATTTTGACTTGGAATCTTGCTTCATAAATGTAGCACTAGCAAGAATCTTCAGGTATAGCCAAGAGAAAACACCTGAAAAAAACTGACTTGAATAACTTCAGTTTAAGACCGAATAACGTCAGTTAAAGGCCAAAAAATTGCCATAGCTAGAACATGGTATAAATAAAACGCTTCAAAACAGTTAAAACATAATATCTCAAACATATTTGAGTATCGCTATTCAAAATATATCAGAAAGAAATACTCATTGGGGACACAATACTTTCATGGGTAGATTCATATCCTTTATGCATTCATTAATCATAATAGTGAATTATAATGATAATCATTAACAGCATACTAGGATGTTCATTAATCTTAGATGAACTAATTTTCCTTGATAATTAATGTGCTCTGAATTGGATTGTGATAAATTATACCCAACGTAGGTAAAGGGCAATATGTTATTGTAGATAGAAGAGAAAGAACAAGAGATATTTGGGGTCAATCTTCTTTTATTACTCCTGAATGTTTTCTTCAATTATTCAATTATATTTTTGAATATCACACACCATATAATTGAATTTGTTTAAAACGTCTTTCCATTGGCTTAATATTGTTTTATTTTCTTGACAATGCTTTGACAGTTTGATTGACACACTTGACAGTTAAGAGTTCAACATCTTGATTGCCTTGTTCGCTGGAAACAAAATGCCAACCAATCCTGATAAACTTAAGCTCTTTATCTGGTGGTAAAGAAAGACCCAATATGAAGCCAGTACTTAGCATAATGACTCCTGATATAAATTGTGAAGCGACCGTAAAATAAGTAAAGCATGATACTGACTATGACCTGCTAGTCTATTTGAATGTAACACATTGTTGTAGAGAACTTCATGGCACATACCTGTCCAGGAAAGAAAGATAACAAGTACAAATGGAGTTACATAAAGAACACATACAATTATCAAAAGAACAAATTCACGTACAGATGCGAAATGAGAAGGATGAAAAGGAATTTAAAATTATTATCAAAGAGTTTGAGCTGCCAAGAAAAAAACAAATTCCACTTCCCATACAAATTCAAGTTTTGACGTTACAAAAAATATTAGTTTCGTGTTCAATTTTCGATAACAAAGAAGTAGACAAATAGTGTATTTATTTTATCTAGGTACATCACTTTATCATTAAAGTTAACTTTATATCACCGACATGCACCAACTCATTTGAGAAGACAATTTTTCTGATAATTGATAACACTTTTGTTTAATGTATTTTTTCCCCAAGCAGTATTGATGTATTGGTCCACTGATAATTACCACATAAACAACATATCATAAACACCACGTGTCGGTGTTACATTTTTTGTTCATACATCATGCTTTTTAAAGAACCTGGTGGTCAATCATTAGTGACGAGTGTCTTTTAATACCAAATAAACCCATCAATGAAATCTTACAAGTTATATTATCGGCAATTAATGCCTTATTCACCTAACTATGCGATATCATTGAAAACCTTATACTCTGCCAGATAATATACTTCCCTAGGTGATGTTAGGGACGTGAACGTGGGTTAAATTGAACGTTTGCAATTATAAATATTATGATTAAAATCCAACTGATGAAGTTAGGATATCAATATTTATTCTTTGATTGTCAAACCTGCCTTCAATTAGGATTTTTTTACATTATCCTGCCTGTGTCAGAAAATGCAAGAGACAATCACATTGATTACAAGCTCTATTTATGTACTTGAACATTACAAACGGAACACTAGCGCTTCCCAGCTCAATTGTCTGGACATACCAATAGCCAAGTAACTTGGAAGTTTGAGCTTGCCAAAGCCGAATTTGAACTTGTCCTAGGAATCGAGGAAAGTTGATATTGATACCAATGTATTGGTGATTTTTTTTATTCCAATCCTTTATTAAAGAATGTGTCAGGGATAATCATTTTGTAATATCCTTTGATTCTGTGTGCCTCTAGTATATCTGCCGGTCTGTGCCTGTAATTGCTTCTCCACCTAATCCACTATGCGCAATCTCATATTTGATAGCTATGTTAAATATGTGGGAAGATCGTTGATTGGCTGGTTGAATTTTTACGGCACACTAGCACAACGAGGCCATTTAGCGCCATACAAAATGTTATATCCTTCCTTATATACAAATGGTAAAAAGGTTCTGTATCGGCCAGAGATACGAAACCAAACAGCTAAAGGCTGTGGGAAGCATCTGTGAGTTGGGTATAACTTTGGGTATAACTTTTGGGGTTCCTGATATAAACCAAAGGTGAAATATACAAACATTTCTCTTACGATAACACTTTAAATTTTGTAATCAAAATTTGTCTGTGTGAGTGTCTATATAAATATATATATATATATATATATATATATATATATATATATATATATATATATATATATATATATATATATAATTATTTATCTTGATATTACTTATCTAGTCTTACGGCTCCGGTGGCATACTGTTTCGAGCGCCTGCCTCGGATGCGGGAGGTCACGGGTTCAAGACCAGGCCGAAACATACCCAATGCTTATAAAAAAATATGATACTGACAGCTGCCTCGATAGCCGCCCTGCATTATGAGGATTGGGAATGGTCCACCTGGTGTCAGGACAAAGTGGCTGGGTGGAACATCTAGGTATATGTCTGTGGCATGATCCCCACTGCTAGACATCACTATAAACTGCCATATTGCAGACATCGTAGGGATATGACTGATAAATTGTTAAAGATACTTTAAAAATCTAAAGCACACATAACGGTTGTTATATAAAGTAAAGACAGTAAGCACTTTTCAGTAATAGATTCATGCCATACATTTTGTCAATTTTACTATGTGATAAAGGGTTTGAAAATATTACGTGTTTACCCTATTTTTGCGTTTTATCAAATTTGCTATGTGTTATATAGTTTGAATATATTCAGCATCTCAATCCAATTCAATTCATCGTAGGCAGCTATCTTACAGTTTGTATTCCTACTTTTTTATTCCCAATTTACTTATTCATAGCAATGAATCACTGTTGCAACCAAAACGAGAGGCAACCTGATGCCAAAGCTACAAAATGTTCCACTTGCTCTAGGGATAAACAATACGCATTCTCGTTGCAGATTGTGGCTACATGGAATCCTGTCTGGAACCACATAATCATCATTGCATGTTTAACAGGATATTGCATGATGTACGGCAAATACATAGAAGCATACACGATTCTCTCAAAATAATTAACCAACGTTGAATAATGTTGTAATATGTATTCAAGTATATAATACCTACAGCCGTTTATCCCAATCAGAGTCAAGATGTAATTAACTCTTTAATCAATTTAATCAGTTCCAAATAGTTAAATAAAAAGAGACTTTTAAGCAACGAATAATAGTGAATGTATTATAAAAATATGAAATGAAGCTTACATCTTCTTATACGAACAAAACAAATTTGTAATGCACTGAACCAAATAAATATATACATATAAAACCAACTGTATTTAATCATGAAACAGTGTGTATTAAATAGAAACTACAGAATATATGTAAAATAACCTCATTATACATGCTTGCTTCACAATGTAATCAGCTTTTTATTTTAAACATAAAATAATGATAACAATCTTCATTAAATTATTCATGATTTAAATTGGTAACCAGTTCACTTTCTATCCTAAAACTGAAGCATCTTTTTAATTAGATATAACATGGTTTGCCATAGTGACGATACTGCTTATGCGATTACATTTATTGCCATCTTGTACAATACAAATCGCTGGAAATATCATTTCTCCTATTTCCATAAAGTCTATGCCCTCTGCCAGTAGCATGAATCCTGTTAAAAAGAATTCCCAAGTAAAACTTTGCAGCGTTTTAATAAGGACGGATTTTCAATGATTCCATGAAGCATCTATATGCATTGGTCAGCTGATTTTCTTCTGTGAAGGAATAACCCAAAATGTTCAAAGACGTGTCTCTGTGTAAAATATCCGGCTCGGTACTAACTACGTGAATCATGTTGTCGAGGGCAGCATGCTTGTGCTTCACTTTCCTTTGTCTGCTGAAATTCAGGTATTGAAAGAAGTAAAGACACATAAGAGAATCAATCACTGCCCAGTCAAACCAAGAATACGAGCTTTCTTCTCTCAAATCTGAGGCAGCACCAATTGACCTGAACATCTCCATCCTCAGTGGTTTGGGGGTGATTGACATCTCTGACGGTAGATAGACTACGGTGTAGGACATCTGAGTCTGCAGCAGCTCCTCAGTATTGTAGATATTCCTGCACAACTTTTCTATACAGGATTTAGAACATTGGCCATGAATCATCGTAGCAGAGAATATGTACTTTATACAAGCGTCGCTAATATTTTGAAGAGAAGTCTCTATTTTATAATAATTCCCAAGTTCCATTCCCATTCCACACAGTTTGAGTCTTACAGAAGTAGTATCACTGTTGATACCAAACAAGAGGCAACTTGATGCCAAAGCCACAAGATAGTCTACTTGCTCTCGGAGCAAAACATCTGCATTCTCTTTGCAGATTGTGGCTATATGGAATCCTAACTGTGACCACATAATCATCGTTGCATGTTTAAGAGGATATTGCATGATGTACGGCAAATACTTAGAGGCATACATGATTCTGTATAAATAATCAACCAACGTTGAATAGCGCTGTGGAATGTATTGAAGTATAGAAGACCTACACTTACTTGCAAAACTTACAGTCAGCATGTGACTAACTATTTCTTCAGTTGTGTTCGGTATAATACAATAGTCAAATCTACAGATCTCATCTGCTATATACTGTCCCAAATTGCAGCATTTTATTCCAAGCAAAAACGTACAATTGGAATCGAGAAGATTTCTGAGTATTTGCTCTAAGTTATTTCTTACTGCTCCAACAATCTTTCTGTCATAGATATTATTTGTCACAATGAAGAAGCCAGGACAAAA